GGTTTTTTAAATAATTCGAATTTTATCAAAATCTAATATTATTTTCATGTGTCAAATACTTTAGAATTATTTAAGTTATGTAAACGTAATTCGTACTGTAATGTAACTAGAAATCATATTTTATATCCCATTGATAATAAACTTACCATTTTATACAGGGTATCCACAAATTTAAACTAATCAAATAAGAACTTTAAGTGGCTATAACTTGATTAATTTGACACATTTATATGTAGCTGTTCTAGACAAACTTTTCAAATTTAGATTTTACCATTTTAAGAGCGGAAAAGTGTAGATGAGAAAACCTGATATTTCCGTTTAGTGAAAAATTTGTTTGATTTTTGGTCCAAATGGCACAGTCGCTTCCACACCGTTTTACTTAAAATACTGGCAATCTTCAGGTATTTTCTGTGAACAATTATAAGATCAATTTTATAGGAACATTCGCCTCCTTAAACGATTTGCAAAAATCTTTGGAAAACTTTAAAAAAAATTAAATAGCGAAAGTGTATAATCATTTATTTGTAAAACTCTTGGAAACTGGGGTTTGGAACTGGAACTAAACAACACTGTCTCTAAAAAAACCGCGTTTCTCCTAACGTTTTACTGTAAAAAACTGAATCTTCTATGCAGAAAAATTAAGAGATTGATTTTACAAGAAAACTCGTCGACTTTCTTTGGACTCACTTCCGTTGCTGGGAAAACCTAGATTACTTTTTGTAGTTGTTTGAACAAAGTAGTAAAACGTTACTCATAAGGAATGTTAATAACCCTTTTTTAGATGTGAAAATTCCAGTTTTTGGTCTCGTAAAGCTTGAACAAATGAATCATAACTCATTAACCCATGAGTTATAACTCATTAACTCATGAGTTATAACTCGTTAACTCATAGAGCGACAACTCAATCGCGCAACTCAACACAGTGTTGCCCAGGCCTACTCAATTAGTACTAAACATAGAACAAGAATTATTTTTTATTTTATTACTTTTATTTTTATACTACTAAAACTAGTACTAAAACTGGATAAAAAATGAATTTAAAAAAGTGAATTTTCGTTTGACATTTATGGATTTCCCGGTAGCCATTTTAACGGCAATTGCTCGGAAGTTTGGCTCATTAGCGGTGGATTTTCTACTTTTTCACTAATTTACCCAAAAAAAAACATTTTTTAAAAACTTCAAGCGACTAAACTATCACCGACTCAACTAACCACTTGTCTTCATCTATGCTACTAACTTGATTAGCATAAAAAATCAATATGCCTTGCTATTTAGACAATCAGCTGTGAACTATATGTTTGGTTGCCTGACCACCAGCACAGAATGAGGTCGACCATTTTATCAAAATGCAAGCACTAAAATTAAGTTTTCTTGCCCTAATCCTTGATGGCAACAGGAACCCAAGCAATCAAGCAAGGCTCCAGGACGCGTCTATCTATAAAGGCCTTTAAACACCATGTTGCTTTATCCCTTTCTATGAAATTCCCATTTCTATCTAACGTGGTACTTGTTCTGACCTTCGTTCAATGTGACTTTCCAGTACCGATAAAAGCTACTTAGAGGGGAATGATTAGCAGATTCCACCAATTTTTCACTGTAGTAGTGGTTGCCCGAGTAGGTGCACGCACAAATCTAGTTTAACCTCAATATACTCAACAAGTGGTCGCTATGGCTTGCCCTATACCTTCCAAGTAAGTTCTTAGTTAATACTTTCCAGCTCTTTCTTTAGGCACTGGGCCAAAAAACTATAAAGCCGAAAGTGCCCAATCATGTCCTGATGACGCTAATTGGCTGAAGTGATTATCATTATTATCTCCGTACATCTACAGATCCTGGCAATGATTTTGCAAAAATTCAATGGGTTTTCACCTTAAAACCCAAAATTATTCGAGTTCCAGCTTGCCATTTTTCCCTTTCATAGCTAAAAGTAGTGCGGCCTTGTCCTTGCTTATCTAGGACATTTAAGTTTAAGATTTGAGGTCACACCACCGATGATTATAAACACTTTAACTACAATGTGCGTGTGGCTTTCAATATGTTCTAAAACAATCGATAGATATGCTTAAAAACGGATGTTATCCATCATTTTGCGCCTCAGTGACCAGCTAAGAGCTTATGGAACCTTTCAGTTAATAAGGTTTAGCATCAGGTTGCTAATGGGGATCTTTGAGAGTGAGAGAATGTGTGTTAGGATGCGCTCTGGTTGGTCCAAGCTCATGAAGGTACTCGAAAATTAAGTGCGAAACAAATTCGTATTAGTGAAACTCACTCGAATGCATAGTTTTTCAAGGCAACTGTTTAGTAGAAGTGGTAAACTTGGGAATTTTCCGTTAAAAATCAGTCTAAAGGGTTCAAATCTGGAAACCGTGCAGGCCAACTATATGCGGGATTTAAGTATTCTCAATAGCCCATAACAACTAACTGCAGATTGAGATGACTTTAACCAGAAGAGTGTGTATAGCTGGTTTGTTTCATTGTTCAAATCATTTKCAWMAGTCWMAAMAMTGTGKTCATTTWWGACCTTTKKCTGTATWTTAAWTCKYYWGKSTSTGTTMKKARTAATTTGGGTTCRCYWGGGTSWAAAWWCKAMKYTYTYTTMSCACGATCGTGSKAARARARMKTMGWWTTTWSAYSSAAGYKA